CTATTTCTGTAACATGCTTTTACTCTAACACTCTTAATTGCTAATCTGGCTAAGATTGATACTGATTGCTATATTAATTTATTATAAAGATAAGGGATAAGAGTTATAATAATTTTAATATACACGTTGAAATCTGAACACTTTGTCTTTAAAATATCAAAAAAAATACAAACAGTTGCTGTTACGCTTGTAGAACCTGGTATTATTGATGAAAACTATCACTATAGACCTTTTTCATGATTTTGGTGGCAAGAAAATACTATAAATAATAATAATAATAAATTTCCTTTATTTCTAATTTGTATTGGGCAAAAAACTTTTACTATTCTTAATAGTCAAAAATTTGTTGTTACAGTAGTTATTGGTTATTCAACTACTTTTTTACCTGGTTATCAATGTTCTTGTAATAATATTTTTTTAGAAATAGTTGCTGATCCAAGTACGGCTATTTCTACAGTATATACAAAATTATTCAAAACTAAAACCCGTTATTCAGAACCCTTTATAATTGGATGGACTAATGAAAAAATTATATCTTATCTTTTATTTGATATTAAATTTTGTCCATTTTTATTTTTTTTAGATAGTAAAAGTAAAATTTTTGTATTTGAAATTGGTTCATCATCATTACAAAATTTTAAAAAAGGAGGGCCTGGTTATAAATCATCTTTAATTCGTGAATATTGCTCTAAAAAAACATTATTTGTTTTAATTATAGACGATTCAAAGTGTTTTCTTAAAATTTATCAAGAGTTTCAGTTAATAAATCGTATTAGAGAACAAACACCTGATGAAGTATAGCATTCAATTGGTATAAAAAAATTTAATAGTACTCAACTTTTTGGTTTAGAACATTCAACAACACAACTATATCTTCAGCAACATTATTTTTCTACATGTATTTTTGCTGATTGGAACAATTATAATCTAATGAAAAATCTTTTTGATTACTATTTAAAATGAAGAACATTACATGGTATTAGTTCTTTGTTAATTAGGCTAAAAATGAAAGCAAAATAATAGAGTTAACTACTAGTCTACAAGAAATATATCTAGCATATTATCAATTTAGTGATAGAGAATTTAGTGCTTGGCAAACTTTAATTCGAGCAGCTGGTGGACATAATATAACTCTATGGTCACATGATGAGTCAGAGGTTTGAATTTTATTATTTAAACTAAATTGTTTAGATTATTATATGTAATAACAAATTTTATTAGTTTCAGATTTGGATATATGCTAACCCGCCTAATAAAGATAAAGAAACAATGCAAATATTATATAAAATAGGGTTTTTAACACCAATTCCAAAATATATACATAATAATACGCAAATGTTTTGGTTATGTTTTCAACATGCACTTTCTAACAATAAAAAAAATCAAGATAGTAAACGACGTATACTCTCAATTATTGTGAATGATTTCACATATTCTGAATTAGAAGCTAATTTAAATATAAGAAACTTTAATTTAAATTTATTATTAATAAATATTAACAGATTTTAATTTATTATAAAATAATAAGGTTGGATGACATATAATTCATGAATCCCAAAACTATGCAATAAACTTATGGATATGATGCACCACCACTTTACAAACCAATTATTCATAGTGTTCAATTTTCTCAAGAAAATTTAATACAATTTGATCAATTTTTTATGCACAAAGATAATATTTCACAAAGTAGTTACAAAACTTATACTTCAACTAGCTTACCTGTAGTATATTTGCATGATACAAAAAAAGGCTTGTGGGAAAAGTTTTATGAAGAATTTCTAAATGGAATGCGCCATACTGCATTTATAACACATTTAGAAGGTGGACATTTTTTATATAAAGAGAATTTAGGTGGACTTTGTAATACATGTAACGAATATGGTTATGAGGTGTTTGAAGATATTAGATCATTAGTTGATAAATATATAATGAATATAACAGACAGAGTACGTATAAATATTATTATTTTTGGTTTATTTAATTTATAATTAATTTATATTATTAATATGTATAAACTAATTATTTAAAAAATAGAAAGAATTAATTAAAAATATAGAATATTTACAACAGTATTTATAAAAAGACTATACAAAAACTCTTGAAGTAACCAAGCAAGGTGTTCTAATTCACAATTCGTGTATTAGTTATTGTCTTGTACATGCATTTGGAAATTGTAACAATTCGCATCCTAATATATGCAAAAAGTGTGAAAGTCTTTTTGAATTTTTTACTCAATTACAAAAAAAGCTAGACATTAAGCAGCATGAATTTTTAATGGATTATCAAAATTATTTAGTAGCTTTTATAGCTCATCATGCACGTAGAACTTATTTGAATACACAGCTAACTGCTGAACTTGAGTCTTTAGATCATAATGGAGCACTTATTCTTGTAGATTTTAAAATGCGAATTAATCCTCAAAGTGCACATGAAACCAAAGAAGATTTTTTTGGTAAACGAGGATAGACCTTACATACAGTTCTTGTATATCAAAAAAACCAAGATAAAAAGCTAAACATACAAGCATTTGATCATTGGTCTGATGATACTCGTTAAAATGCATGGTTTGTGGCTTTGTCACTCCATATGGTTATAGAAGTTATTAATCCAAAACCACAATGGATAACAATAGTGTCAGACAATGGCCCATATTACAGAAATAC